GCGGCTGGTGGCGTTCAAGCAGCTCCTACTCTTCTTACTACAGTGTGTGAGGCGTGAGAGCAGAGAAGGAAACAGGGCATACCATACGACGAAGTGGCAGCTACCGAGGACGAGTGCTGTCAGAGAGATCAGTTAGAGCAGCAGAAAGAGAGGGAAGTAATGATGGTGGGGTTACAGGTATCCTGTGTAACACCGTAAACAACAGAGTGATGAGGAGCTGTACAAAGCGGAGGAAAGAAGAGAGGTCATCTGCTGGTAACAGTGGAAAGAGAAGGTCATGTGAGCCGTACAGATTACTGCTGGCTTTTGCACAGATTCTCTCGGCATGGGTGTCGCCTTGTCTGCCAGGATTTTGTGCTGTTCCGTGCATGTAACCCAGGAAAAGCTCTTTCTGCAACAATGTCACGACAATAGAATCCATCCTTAACACCATAAAATCTAAGCAAAACTATGAATGAATATTAGTGGAGGAGGATGTAGATCTAAATGTTATGTTGATTGTCATAAACTTTGCAAGATTGACATCCTAGATGGGCCCTGAAATCTGAGTCTTCATCACCTGGTATGTATGCTTTGTGACAGCAGATCAGGTTATGGAGACCATCATTTTGACCTTGAAAGACACGCAACTTGAAGCTACTTTTCACCCCAAAGAAGAGGCTTCATGCTGACAAACAGGACAGAAATGCTCCCAGTACATGTTGCTTTTCCTATACAACCAAATGTAATCCTTTTTGGATGTATTATATATATACATATATATAATGCATGATGGGTTGGATCAACTTTTGGCTTTTTGATATGTTGGGTCCTCAGACATTGTAATTTCCATGAACAAGAGAACACCACTAGAGTGAACAATACAGTAATTTCCTCTAAGCAAAAACAAAAAATAAATGAAAAATATAATTTATTTTGCTTGTAGTACCTGAAGTTACTAAGCTATTAAATATTCTTTTAGTTACCATTCTAATCTGATGAAAATAAATAAAAATTCATTTAATTCAGATTATATTGCAGGAAAACTGATTCAATCCCAACATACACTAACAAAGAATCATAAACAACAAAGATAAATTCTTTATTGTTGCGTTTCAATCAGGTGATTTGATACTCTATTTATTCTAGGAAAAAAATTATAATTGAGAAAGGCCCAACCAAGTCTCATAAGCCCAATTCTCAGCCCAAGCCCGGCCCATAAGCTGGCCTACAACCAGCCCAAGGCTCCGCAATCAGTCTTCTATTTATACCCACCATATATATATATATATATATATATATATATATATATATATATATATAACTGATTTAACTTAGAACACCCAAATTGCATATGTATTAAAGAACCCAAAAGATAATGTCATTTACTTGTGCTGCTTTCTCCCTTCGTGCCTGAGACGTTGGAGCGAAGGAATGCCTCAAAGTGCCAATTGGTAGCATCCCGTTTGAGAGGAGGAAGTGACTGTTCATTGATGACCCTTTAATGCTGCGCTACATTGCGTGCCTGAATTGGTCGACAGGAGGAACCCATCCATCAACATCCCCCACCACCCTTCACAGAAACCTCACCAGCTTCAGTAGCTTTATCCCCCCCCCCCAACTCCGCTGGTACTGCCGCCCATCGAGCCTCTCTCGTGGCCATGCCGGACCAAATCCCCTACCCGGTCCCATTACACAGCGTCATTACGTCGAACAGAAGAAACATCGATGAATCCCATCAGCCAAAGCTAGGCTGTGGCCATGTCAAGCCCTGAAAGTACTGCCACCAACCACAAGACACATGGATCCAGCTACCGTTCCAAGAGCTTCCATGGCGTCGTCGATGGGTCACGAGGTGCATAAATGCATGCATGCACGCAGTGGGCCGCCCCCGCCCACGTGGGCGCCGAGCCGGCGGCCATCGCCTCGCCCCGCCATGGGAGACGGAGCTATGATAATGCCATAAAGAAGAGAGGCAACAGCACGTTGGTCGACATCGGAGACGTTGCACAGAAGTTTGCGGGAAAGAAATGGAAGGGGAGAGAGAGAGAGAGAGGTGGTCCATGGCGATGGCGTCGTGGTTTGGTGAAGGTTATTGTGGCGGTGGGACACCGGTGGTGGTGGGAGTCGTACCAGTAGTTATAATTGCGTGGAGACGCCGACGAGGAGTCGCTGTTTTAGGTGCGGGCGATGTCCGCCACTTGCCGGTGTCTGGTCGGCCGTGGGAGGGGCAGCGGTACCCCACCGCTCTCTCTCCTCTTCCTTTTGTGCTGTTGCTGTTGTCCCTTATCCTGTTCTCCTATCTTTGAACTCTCTTTTGCCTGTTCTTCATCCAAAGTTGGATTAATTGTGCTCCACAAGCAAGAATATTGAGAGATAATTACTCCTCTGATTAGATAAATAAAAGTCAAACTTTGTCTAAGATTGAGTTATAAAATATTATATTTTTTGTTATTTCCATAGTGATGTACTAAACCCATTTACCAACTTATAAAATTTCTTTTGGTATTTTTATTTTAATTTTATATTATTTGTAGCTGAGTTTTCTTTTTTTTTTTCCTTTTATCATTGAATTCAAATTCACAACATTTTTTAGATATGTCCAACAACTGATATCCACTATTATGTGGATGCTATATAATTGAATTGTCACATATCTTTCATTCGTCAAAATTAACATAATTAAAAAAAAGATTATAATGATGTCTATTCAGATATTCGAATTGATTAGTGCATTGTTACACAGTATGTTTATAGATGCGATGAAAAATCTTTTTTTAGGTAATAATAATATATTGCTCAATTCTTAATTTTTTTAGAAAGCCAAGAAAAAGATGGCATTTGGGATGGATGTGCAAATAAAAGATTTCTAAATTGATATACATTGTATAATCTTAATCTTATTAATATCCACATCAGCCAAATGAAAAGAGACATGGACATGGCCCTATCAATATCTGAAATCACCTTCAGCACCCATCCTAAGAACACTAACAGCAATTTGATTTAGGGAGACCACCATTTCCAACATGATTGAAGATAGAGGAGGTTGGAAGTGAAGCTCTTGCAACAACACATGCTCTACTCAATGGTTGTCTCAATGATTGGCTTTTGTGGTTATGTGGTGCCAAGTAGCTTCTCCACAGTGTAAGCAAAGATTGGGGTGATGAAGTTGGACAACATTTCTAATGATGAGATGATGAGGTAGAGAGGCAGAGATCAACAAAATTCCTAAGGGATTGACCCACACAGAATCCAATTGATTGAAGAGTCTTCATAGATAGATAGATAGATAGATACACAATCCCTTATTTATTTACTTAAAGCATTTGAATGGAATGATAATGATCAATAATTTAATATGTATTATTATATATTAAAAAACCATGTTCATATAATCCAAGTTTATTCCAAAATTGTATATGAAACTTTCAATTGTATTATTTTGAATGAAAATTAGAACTTTGTCTCAGCAAGTCCCAAAGGATTTGAGCCACAAAGCACACCCTATTTGTGATGAGTTGGACATTGCTTTTAATGTGGAATTCCAGCTTATGTGGACACTGCATCCAAGCAACATAGTCTTTTCTCAAGAGCAATTATGAGGTGGATATCATATTATGAGGTGCCACTTAATTTCCTCAACTTATATTTCAACCACAAATTGGCACCAAATATATTAGTTCATAGTACAGCTGACAGATAAAATGACAATAGATTTTACTTGTTTTATATTATCATGCAAAGCTTTAATTTCTCCATAATTAATTATTACTTTAAATATTTACTTAGAGAAAGGAAATTGGTTATCCACTGTATTGTGAGTTTTGAATATATATATATATATATATATATATATATATATATATATATATATATATATATATATATATATATATCGCTTTAAAAACAAGAAAATTGATAATTAATGTTACATAGTATTAGTTTAAATGAAAATGTTCTATTTCAAGTTTTTTCCAACTCTATTCATTTAAAAAAAATAAAACAATATAAAACTCTTAAGTCTCCACTTTTCTTATTCTTGTTGCATTTATGAGAGAATCTATTTCTTTCTATTTAACTTTTTATGTTCAGACTAATTATAAATTATTTTTTATAATTAATTATCTTTAACATTTCGATCCTTATATTTATAAAAATAAATATATTGAGTTCTTTAAACATGATTAAAGAAATAATTTTATAGATGTTTCAGTTTAATGTATATAGAAATCTCAATATAACTTTTGAAAATATAAGGTTGGAATATTAAAGATAGATAAATACAATGGATAATATAATTAGCCCTTTATCTTTATTTCACTAAATATCCTATTTATTCAACAGTATTTGCTAAAAATCTAGAAAAATATGTTCATGTATTCCCTTATTTCAGTGAGGATTGGATCGAGTGCATGTGTTCGACGAAATGCCCGTAGAGAACACTTCTCTTTTGCCAGAGGAGAGCACGGCAAATCACGGATAACTCGCGACGAGAGGAAACGCAATCTGTCGTTCAGGTGCTACGAAGGATTCATCGGTGCAAAAGTGCGAGTTTAATGGTGAAGCAATGCTTCATCCACCGGAAAGGCCCACCACCTCCGGTTGCCGTCCACGCCTTTCCATGGCCCTTGATTTCCGTAGGAGAACACTACTGATCTTACCCGAAGGTGGAAAGCTTAGCTACCTGAAAAGAAGGGCAGCGAGAAGCAGCAGTCCTTTTCCCATGGATCGATTGCGACCCAAAGATGAAGGCTGTCGCAGAATATGTGGAAGGAGTCGCCGTCAAATCCATCACTCAGGCGTACAAGACCTTCTCCTCCACTCTTTTTAGCTCCACATCACCTTTTGTTCTGAACCACCATTGTCCCAGCAGAGACCTCATCCTCTCTCCTCTCCTTCCGTAGCTTATCATGGGAGGTTTGACTTGGCTACGTTCGTTCGAAGGAACACCTAAAGCTCTATTCAGGACACACACTGATACGTACGTGGAAGGAAATGGTGCACCGAGTGTCTCTTTCTTTTAACCCTTCCTCTGTAATTGACAGGTATTCGGAACGAAAACTAAGGCGAGTACAGAACAAGAGAACAGAAAGAGCAGCTCAGATTGAAATAGCACATCATTTTGTGACATCATCATATCTCCAAAGAAAGAAGAATCGCATCTGGTCCGATTCGGAGTTAGATTTTGGGTTGCTTCGTTAATCTTCTCTTGCCTTTTGCTGCCAATTCCTATAGTAAGAAAGATTACCCACTCTGCAGATCAGAGCCCCAGTAAGATGTAGTACACCAGCGTGATTGGCAGCGCAATCAGCATCCCAAATATCACCCTGTGGCAAGTTGAACACCGATCAAGCACGCGGTAGAGTGTATGTATGGCAGAGAGCAGGAGAGAATGTTTGCAGAGCTCTGTACTCACGCTGTGCTGAGGATATCGGGATGCAAATTGTACTCCTTCGCAAACACGAAAGGGACGATGCCTTGCGGGAGTGACGCCTGCCGGGAGTCCAGGCCATCGCCACCGTAAAGAAAGAAAAAAGAAGAGTGAGTGAGGCCACCGTGGTGTCGGAGGGCAAAGACCGGTGAAGATGGAACGGGAGAGGGGAGGATGATACCTGCACGATGGCGATGCGGAGGAGGACGCCGCGGAGACCCACGGCAATGGAGGCGGCGGCCATGACAGCTGGGCCTGTTAGGAATCTCACGGCCATGGCAAAAGCTGCCACCGAATTCCCACATGCTATGATCCTCGGCTGCAGCGCCATGAACAGCCCTGACCAAAAGAAAGCCCATCAGGAGACAGTTCTCGGTAGCAAAGTAGCGCAAAAAGATAACGTCGAACGGCTCGCGAGCATGCGAGGGGAAGAACAATTCGAGCTAACGTGTCTTTTCTGCGACATGAAGGGAATGGGAAAGGTCGCAGTTGTTACTGACCCAGGCTGAACATGGCCATTCCGAGGCCTGCGTCCGACAAGATGGAGATGGAGCCCGATACAATGTCGGGCATGTTAACTTGCCATCTACAGGACCAAACAAATAGGGTTAAGAAAAGGAAGGAAGCGAGCAGGACTGCTGCTTGCTACTGTAGATACGTCAACTCTGTAGTATGGGGGTGTGATATGGGATTTTACTTGAAGGAGATGAGAGACCAGACGACGCCGATGAGGCTGGAGTAGGTGTTGGGGTTGCGGATCAGCTTCCTCCACACCATGATCAGGATGAGCCTCGTCATGACGCTCGTCGGTGGCATCGTCGTCACCCGCGTGAGCCCGGCCTTGGCTGGTCCCTGGACCTTGTCGTCGACGGCGTCGTGCCCGCAGCCGTCTCCTTTGTTTCCGAAGCTGAAGTCGTCCCTCTCCAAGCAGTCCGCCGGGTTCTCCTTCCGCCCCTCCACTGATGCCGTCAAACCAAATTCACAGCTCAGTAATGGCTATAATCTGAAGAAGTTAGTCAGAACTTGGGTTGATGGAATACTTCTGCCAGGCGAAACGGCCACCCGGACTTCTTTAAGAGCCGAAGGAACGACGGACGGAAAGCCGTACTCGTGGTGGTGGTTGTTACTGCCGACGAACACGTCGGAGACCGGTGAAGCGCTTGAGCTCCACACGAACATGTGAAGATCCTTAGTCCCACCATCCTCCGCCTTGAACACGGGTGCTTGCCCGTTGGCCTTTTTGGACCCCGTCGCCACCTCCGCCGCCGTCCCCTTGGGAGCGGTAGGCGCCGCCGGGGTGAACACTGAGGGATTCGGAGCTGGGTAGTGCGGCGTACCTGCCGTCGCCGGCAATTGGTAACTGATCTTGGACTTGGCAACCGCATTGCCGGCAGTGGCCGTTGCGGTGGCATTGGCCACTCCATGCTCCTCCTCGTAGTTGGAGGGCCGCGGCGTGGTGGCGCCTTTCGTCCCATAGACGTCGGCGGCGCCGAAGTTGGAGCTCCGCCCGACCATAGAGTAGAAGTCGGTGTGGTTGAAGCTGGAACCCCGGGGCGTGGGGTTCCTCGACGACTGCAGCGAGTAGATCTCGGCGTTGGTGAGGTTGGAGGGACGGGGGGTGGTGGCGGAGAACCCCATGGACCGCCGCGAGTACAAGTCCGACCGCGACGCGTTGGACCGCCGCACCGTGACGTGGAGCTTGCCGTCCTCCTTGACTTCGGCCTCCGTCTCCAGCATGTCGCCGTGCCCATCGAGCGACGTGACGTCGGAATCCACGGTGATGGACGCGATGGCGCCGGCAGTGTCCGGGAACTGCTCCGTGATCAGGATCCGAGCGGCGCGGTACTCGAACAGGAACAGCATGAGCGTGTACCAGATGATGCACTGCAGCACCACGATCTGGACCATAAGGCTGCCGGAGTAGCTGCCGTACATGCCCTTAAGCAGCGGGATGCCCATGACGAGGGTGTTGGGCAACGTGGACAGGGAGAAGATGGTGATGGTCCACTCGAGGGAGCCACGGCGGCTGAGCCTGTTCCAGGCGGCGAGCATGGCGAGCACCATCAGCTTCTGCAGCGTGTCCGCGGCGATGAACCGCATGTTCATCTCGTATGGGTTGTTAGTGGAGATGAAGTGGAAGGAGAGGAGCGGCACCGCGAAGAGCGCCACGAAGCGGTTGATCCCGGAGCACTGGTCCGGCGTGAAGATCTTCCACCACTTCACCGACCCATACGCCAGTATCATCGCCACGTACAGCGGCACCACCGCCGTCATCACATGGTAGAAGTCTGCACCCGTAATCATCTCGTCCTCCTTTCTTCTTCTCCTCCTCCTCTTCTTCTTCTTCTTCTATCTGCTTGCTTGGGGTGCCAAGAATACAAGAGGAGGATTACGAGGAGAGGAAGGAAACAAGGAGATAAGGTGGCGTCCTAAGAGTTCATGGCATCAAGAAGCATGTGTTTTTGCTTTGATTTGTGGAGCCGAGGATTAGCAACAGGAGCAACAACAGAGATCAAGAGAGAGAGAGAGAGAGAGAGAGAGAGCGCTTCTCGAGAGTAGCGCGCTTGGGAGGGAGAGAGCAGCCTCTTCCTCTTCCTTTCTCTCTCTCTCTCTCACTGCCCGGTCTCCGAGCATGGACTGCCTCTTTCTTTATTGACCCTTTCTCCCAAACTGGCTACTTTTTGCTTTGGACTTTCTCTCGTTCCTTTCCACCTCGCACTTGCTGTTCCCAGTTGCCTCCCTCTTTGAGGATCTGAGGAGCTCGTGGGGGGAGGCGATGGGTGGCGTTGGGAGTCCTCAGGCTTTTGCTCTTTACTGCCTTATAATACTCTCTAAATCTAACACTCGTTCTTATTCAATTATATGATTTCTGGCTAATGTTCCGATTTTTCGTAGCCACTAAAACTCAAAAGAAGGAAGACGACATGGGAGGAGGCGCTGATTGAAGCCAGCCGAGGAGGTGGTGGGTGAGGGTGTTCGCGTGGGCCGCTGCTGACGCCTCAGTCCTAACAAGATTTGCTTTTATCTACCTATTCATACATATATATTATATTATACTGTCAGATGAATATTCTTATTTTTTTTCTTTTAGATTTTCCAGCTTTATTGAGCTTAAAATTCCTAACTGGATGTAAAATTACAGAGATCAAAAAGATCAAATCTAACTGGTAAAATCTTAATGACTTCCTGAATTCGAATCTTATCCTAAGAAACTCATAAAAAAATATTATCATCAGCACTGTTACAGGGCCTCCTGAGGCATCTTTTCATCACCCTCTGTTACATGGGAATTTTTCTGCTGCACCAGCTTTAGGGGACATGGAAATATGGAAAGGAGAGGGAGAAAAGCAAAATGCCCATAAGGAGGCAGTGTTTCAGATGCCTTTTGCATAAATACCTATTTGATTCTCAGATTTCCTCAATTGACTTGATAAACACAGTGATAACTTTTTCCATCCTGTGAAATGTTTAATCGATTTGCATCCATGAAATGAGGGATTCCAAGAACAGAGAATCCTCCAGAATAGACTCCATTGCCATCTATCTGACCTCCTTGACTGGATAGAGTACTTGTGAGAGTGGCACCTGATGGATACCTTGTAGGGCTAGTGATTGAACCTATACATACCCATAGCAAAGTGATTCTTAATGGGTTTACTTGCTGCAATTTGAAGATCATCAATCTATTCAGCTTCCAGTGATGTAGAATTTGTAGATGAACATGAGCTCTGAGTCTTTGCTGAGTTCATGAACCTGCCTCTTCCTGTACAGCATATGCCAAGGCATTTAGCCAGCAACCTGTTGTTGATGGAAATGCTCGAATCTTTACCCAAAGCATCCGTTGAGAATTTGCTGCAAGGCCCAACCCGAGCACGGAGAACTACTCAGCAGGCAAAAAGAGAGATGATGAACAGTAACCGGGGAACTTTTTCTTGTACAATACATGCAGCTACTGTTGCTGGGAATAGATGCAGTCATCCATTTGTCATCATGGAAAGCAAGAGAAACATGTCCTCACAGAATAAAGGAAGAACGATGGATAAAATGGAAGGATTGTGTTTGTTTGTCCCTGAAATCAATGCTACAATGACCGTCAACAGACATCCTTGAATGGGAGAGCGAGAACAGCCATCCAATGGTACGTGTGTCGTGGCACACATCACGACCAACGGAGGAATTGCGTCGAACATGTTGGATACGTTTCCTTCGCAGAGACGTCGGTTGCTTGGTTCTCCAGAATTGGGCCTTGGCTACAAGATTTGATGAGTTCTGACGAATCAAGCCCAGGGAAGTGGAACATGGAGGTTCTCCTTCCATTGACGAGGCGATTCAAGCTTCGGTGTCGGTGGCTGCTCTCTACCAACCATATGTTCCTGCCACTGAGTTGCTTCCATGAATGAACAAGCCCTCCTCGATCATGGACTCAAGCTCCTTCCGCGCGTCCTTGTACGGCCAGAACTAGTAGGGGCTCACGGGGGTGAAAGCGAGAAGCCTCCGCTTCTCTGGCGGCCTTACCACCACCCCCAACTTCGACCACCCAGCATCCAGAACCGAATCCCATCACAGAAAAACATTGACTTTGTGAAGGAGAGCCAGAAAGAGAGGATTTTGGTGACGTAAATCTCTTGCAATGGGACTTAGAGTTGACTTTTGATCGAGAAAGAAGAAGAAGAAGAAGAAGAAAGGCTTGGGAGATGCAAAGCGAGCTTGTTGTGTGGGCGGGAAGATTGGGTTGGGAGAGCGCACACACTGCAACTGCTCTCTACATGTTTGCTTTGGACAAGGAGATGGCGGGCAAGCCGAATGGCTATTAGTGGACCGGACCGGCCCAATCGTTCGTGGACCGGTCCGGAATCGCGGAGCAATGCTGGGTCGATCTCAGCCTCTCTGTCTTACGAGTCTGTTCTGGAGATGGAAGGGAAGACACGGTGATCAGTGTCATCCTTACTCATGAATCATGTCAGCAACTCGAACCTTCTTCCAAATGGAGAATTCCAAGTTCTGAGATCGTGCCGCATGGCATTATCTTTGCTCCATATCCATCTCCTTTACCCACTTCCTGCGTTCGCGTGTGCAAATTCCACGCCTACCGCAGCTTTGTGCGCCGTCACCTCCAAAGAATCCATAAACTATCACCAAGAACAAAGCACGAGGAAGCCAGCGTCGCCTCCCTGGTGGGTGCAAAAGCAGCGGACTTCATGGCGTAGTGGGTCGTGGAGCGCATTTTAACAACGCCACCAGTACAAAGCACAAGAACAAAAGTTAGGAGTCGCCCCAAACCCTTCGGTGCCTCACCTGCCTATAAAAAGGGCACGTCTCAGGCCCTCCACTTCAATCGCCTTCTCGTTGCCAGGAAGGAGTTGAGCAGCCATGGCTCAGGGAAGGGGCAGTGCGAGTCACGTCGTGGCCCTCGGGATTGCACTCCTTTGCCTTCTCCTTCTCTGCGAGATCGGTGAAGCAGCCGTGTACACTGTGGGGGACAGTCAGGGATGGACCTTCAACACCGTCGGCTGGCCCAAAGGCAAGCGTTTCAGGGCCGGAGATGTGCTCGGTGAGCTTAGCTGGTTAATTGTCTTTCTCTACCTTTAGACCATGTTCATCGCTGATCATGCGGGGGTTGTGGTTCTACTCAGTGTTCAAGTACAGCTCGACGGCGCACAACGTGGTGGCGGTGAACGCCGCCGGCTACAGTAGGTGCACGACGCCGAGGGGGTCGAGGGTGTCCAAGACCGGGAACGACCGCATCAGGCTGCGTAAGGGGACGAACTACTTCATCTGCAACTTCGCGGGGCACTGCCAGGCGGGGATGAAGATTGCTGTGACTGCAGCTTAGTGACGACCTGTGATGCAAGTATATGGGACGAACTACTTCATATAGTGTGATAGACATGAATAAATGCACCGGCTGCTTTGGTCTTGCACAACTGCAGAATGTAGTAGGGATTGATCGTAGTGATCTACTCTGATATGATGATGATAAGGAATATGATTGAATGATCATGTATCCTAAAAACTTAAATGTTTAAGGATAAATCTGATATATGTCATACGTGGATCTATTTATTCATATATGGGTTGATGTCTAACTCTTTGTAAGAAAAAGTCTATTTTTTGACCTAATATAGAACTATCTTTATTTTGACTTATTTGACAACGTTGAGTCTATTAGAACAATGATTACTGTATATGAATTTTTATATATTTTTTGAAAGAAATAATAATTAGCTAGAGCAAAATCGTAAATTTAAAATAAAAAAAAAGAAAAAGAAAAAGTAAGGGTAAACTTATAATTTGTGATTTTTTACATTATATATTTCGGTGCCAGGAATTCATACATGAGCTTAAAACTTGAGATGTGCTGCGTTGAGTCTGAATCACAAGTTTAAGTCAAACTAGACGATAAAGTTAACATACATGACATTGAGACTATAGTTTATTATATCCTTGGACTTTACTCTAGAGTCTCATTTCATAAAGAGCTTCAAGTAATATGTAAACTTACAGTGACTCACTAATTTCAACTCTAAACCTAATTCACCCAAATTCCAGTATCCATATTGGAAGGATTCATATGAATATGAATTGAGTATCATTCATATGATATGATTTTTCATCTTTTAACTTAGCTAAATGTATTTTTTTTTTCATTTTTCTTTTTCTTAGCAGTAAAATTGGAACAAAGGAGGGAAGATAGGAGGAAGCATAGTTCAAAAGATCATCTTGAGAGTTTAGAGGTTTAATCTGGCTGTGAAATGTTGCCTACATAGTCATTATGCATTTTTGTTAGAACTTATACCATAATATGGAGTCTATAGACTACTACTATATGATCAGGAAAAGAAAATTTCAGTGTCCTATGAGGTGGATAGTAACTCAGGTATCAGTCAAAACTTTTGTATCTCATGGATTGTTCAATCTATTGCATAAATTTGGATTACATTTTTGGTGCATTTTGTACCCAGAGTAACTGTAAAATCAAAGATGCCTACTTTACTCTTCCTTAATAGTGTGTCCTCTACAGCAGCAATGAGCATCTCAATGTATGACTGTGGCACTCATTTTGAAATGCTTCATATGCATGAATAGTTGCAGTCTTTCTTTACAGATGAATCATCAAACTGTGTTCATGAACCATTTATGCTTGCAATCAATGGCTAGTGTGATACTATTTTCCTTTTGTAATATAAGATTGAAAACCATAATTCTAGAGAAGTTCGCATGTAGTGAAAAAAGGGTTTCATTGTTCACAATGTAAGCACTAGAATTAATATATACGAAAATTCCCAAATGGACTTCTGTACAATTAAAACTTACATTATATATCATCATCTCGATAGGAAGGGGAACTTTTCCTCTTTTTAAGTTTTCAACCATTGGAAATTCAAGCATCGGTGGAAGAAGATTTACTTTAAAGGATGTAAAGATTCGCCCTTTTTTGCTCCTGAAATAGACTCACCATATATCAACTTTCACCCATGAAAAAGATCTCTCAAAAGATTTACTATCTTGTTGCTTGCTCATGGAGAAGATTTACCACAAAATAAAAGCTTCAGGAGGACTATATCTTGTTCACCTATAATTATACTCGATCAATATCAAACGAAATAAAAAGGCAAGCATTCTGATGTATACCTAATCTACCTCTAGTGTCTTTGGTGGCAATTAAACCAAGGGAAAACCGCCTCTGCATTATCACCATCAGCATCGTCAATGAGAATGGGTGATGAGTGTAATAACGATGGCATCCTCAAGTCAGGAGAATTTATTACCAGGGTTTGGTAGCAGTAGGTTCTTGGAAAGGTTGGCACAAATGGGGTTGAAGCCTTCACTTGCGATTTTGAGTCCCTCAGCACCATCCTGGATTGTACCAATGTTTGCAAAGCCATGAACAAATCAGAATGAGAATACAACTGGTAAACCATCGCACAGAATCAAACATGTGATTCATCTGGTAACTGATCGAATCGCTGGTCCATCACTTGTCTGGCTCTTGCACTTCGATACTGTAATCGCTCGTGTAATACCTCTGACATCTGGTCAAAAAATTCAGCATCCCATCTCTGGATCAAGAATGGGTCTTCTGCATAGCATACGTATATAGATGTAACTGCACTTTCGATAACGACTACCGCCAGGCCCACCTGTGAAAACAGAAACAGAAGGTGCACTGAGTAAAATGCTTTAGTATAGCTGACCTATATACAAGATATTTAGATCATCAAGAGGGATGAAAGAAATGGCAGAGGTTGTTTCTGTTAAATAGTTTCTTTCTGAAGCTAAAAAGACTAGATTCCAAAATGCCTTATTGGATTATCGTCGATGTTCTAGCTGTTGACAATTGTAAGTGGACTACCAGTATAAAGTTTCTCATTAGTATAACTCACAACTATCTACTGTTAACATTGTGAGTGGACTACCGGTAAAAATTTCTCTTAGAAGTATAAGCCTTAACTATTAGTCTTTTAGTGATCATTGATTGTTATGTTGATGGAAATATTAGTAGACAATTATCATAAACTGCTAATTGCCATGAAAACACAGAACTTGATCAAAGAAAAGATACACAAGGCCTGGATAAGTTAAATTAACAAGAACCCTACCTGAATTATGATGCATGCTGAACCCTTCTATAATAAGAATGCCATCATTAGGGAGTCAAATTAAGAGTCATAAAATAGTTTTGCTCTGAACACTAAAATTTAACTAGTTTCCTAAAGCCTTTATAATTAGTGCAAGTCTGATATCAAAGAAAAACTGAAGTATGATGCATGCTGGACAACTCACCAAAATCATTCCCATCAAAATAGCGGTAGAACCAACCATGATCAGTTTATCACTCCTCTTATACCATGTCCAAACTCCTGTACATGTTCCAGTAAGTAGCCCACCCAAAATAATGCCCATCAGAAGAACTGCACCTGAACAGTCATAGGCAACAAGAGCTTCAATGCCAGTGGACTGGAATAACTCCCAGGCATCCCTGGCTGAGCTGTTGAAGCCTTTACCATTAACTGCAATCTGAAAAAGACAGCAACATAAAGAAATGCTTTACTAAAAAGTTTGCTGTCACATAATGTCAGTCCTAATTAGTTAATTCAACTACTAAAGCCAGAAAATTTTTCAATATATTAAGCCAGCAAAAAGTTAAGTTGCATATGAAGTTCAAGCTTCATATAGGAAAAGAATAATAAAAAAAAAACATGATTTTTTATAAAAAAATTGTTATTAATTCAACCTATGCTAATGGAAACATCTTATGCTAAGGCATGCCTAAGAAGTTTGAAATTGTATGGTATTAAATAATTTCTTCAACCTTTAGCTGTAGTACAGAACAAATGAATTAATCAGGGAAAAACAATCCAGGCAGATCAATAAAATTATAAGGGAAAAAACCAAATTGCACAAATCAGTGGCAGAATAAAAGAAACTCGGTCATACTCTGTATATGCTCATCATTTAAACATATCTGCTGATCAGATGATTTTTAGTTAAAAAGCGCTCAGCTTAAGTTGTTAAGTACCCAAAAATTGTGCTGTCAACTTTTACACTCATAAAAATACAAGTCATGTAACAAGAGATATTTACAGATTATAGCCTCAAGTTTGGTACAAGGAAAAAGATATGGATAACTGGTTTTCCTTGGAAATGCCTTTTCCGTTCTTTCATTCAGCAGGGAATATCTAGGTATATAATCAATTCGCATATTTGTGTGAAATGTAGTGGTTAGTTCACTGAGAAATCCACTGAAAAAATAAAGAAATCATTCTTTATCATTTTAAGAATAAAGATAATTTTAGTCATTTTCCTATGTTTTTCATGCTGTGAAATTCCAACAGAATGATTTTTTTCTCTTCTTCTCCAAGGAATAGTCTTTATATGATTCTTAAAAAAAGCCCAGAGGAGCACAAATTAATTGATGTTGTAATAGATCTAGATAAATTAATTTACAGCACACAGGGAAATTGCAAGATAGGCAAGAATGCCAAAGCAACGAACCTCAACATAGGCATACTTGTTGAAGAAACGAACTAGTGTCTCCACAAGGTGAAACAAGAAATCAACACAGCATAGGAGACATTCATTGCTGCCAATCTTCGATCGAATTCCCCGTATCTAAAAACATTTGATCAAACATATTACAATCAGACTGATAAGTAGCTACTTGGTATATCAAGAACCACAAGAACTGAATAAACCTTCTATGATAACCATAAATCAACACATGAAGATCCTATGCAAAGTTAAGAATATAACCTTCCACCGCAATGTTCGAATTGCAGCTGTAAAAAGTGATCCATAGCAAATGCTACCAAAAGAAGTTGTCACAGCATAACGTAGTGACTTCAAAAGTGGCTTTGAAGGCATTGATGCTGCACTTACATTACCATGCATGAGAACAAGGAAGACCATGCCGGATACTATAACATGGACTGTGTTGCAAAATACAGCACCCGTCCAAAATAAACTGACAGAAAATATCTGCAATTATGGATAAAGCATAAGCAAATCATTTGTGTGTCATTAAGCAAAGAATTTCATGAATTGGAAGAAAAAACTTGCCAGCTCACCACAAGAAGCCACCAACATCCACTGTCATCCAAGCTTGAAGCAATAACCCCAGATATTCCAAATGACCATAATATCATCCAACAAAGCATAATTATCATAAAAGCATAGGCTACTCGCATCAAATCAGGAATAGCCAAGACCATCTTCACAGCCTTTTGTAGCACTAGCATTGTGAAAGGAAACCTAGTGGAGAAAGTACAAAGTTACTATCAATATCACATGAAAGACTTAAACTATGTTTATGTGATGAAGCTAGAAGATGCATCGACATCTTTTTTTTACTTTATTCCCAACTAATGCTTTTTTTTTTAAGCTTTAAATCACTAAACCAGGACTAAGTGTTGAAATCACCAACATTTTTCTGTACGTTAAACACCCTTTAGCACATAAAGATAATAACAAACAAATATAAGCAAATTAATTAGCACAAATGATGCGCACAAACAATCAAAGAACCTAAAGAAATTAAGGAAGCACAGATTCAACTTCACTGCAAACAGAATGGCACGACTCCAGCTGCATTGCAATAAACAACAAACATTTCCTACTTAAAGCTTTCACAATTCGAAGTGTAATGAGGGTCATTGGCAAAGTTACAGAGCTCCCACCAACGTGGAATTTAAGGAGGACCAACATATTCAGTCATAAACCTATAAGCAAGGAGGCCATTTCTGTGAACTTGTACCATCAACATATGTATATTTCAATATATAAATATCTGGAACACTTATATCATTTACATAAGGCTTTTTAAGACATGCTGAATCATGGCAAAAAATATAAGTTGAGTTTTCGATTAACTGCTTCACATTTTGTATATGCATTTGAAGTATTTGGTGAACATTTGCTATTTTTATGAATTACTGCTATGCTTACTAATAAATACATAAACGGCAATCATAGATTGGTTCAATCATTCAAAATATACTATTATAATATATGCATAAATGGCATCTCGTATATATATACTATTATAATATATATATATATATATATATATATATACATATATAGATATACATATACATATACATATATACATATATATATACGTACGTACATACACACACACACACTAATTGTATCCTGTTCATGTCCATATCAAAATCTATGCTCAATAAATTAGTGCCTATATTTTCCTATATTGTTACTTTTGTGTTTACTTGCTACAGCAACAAGATTGAGCTCACAACATAACCTATAAGCATATTCCATTATCCACTTTAACATAGGAACAATAATTAGACACTCAATATTATGCAATGCACCCAAACAGAGAATTAATTAGCAGCTCAAAATCAATTCAGAGACCATATTCTTAAAGCAGCTTGTTAGAAGCAAGTTACATATTTGGAATAATATGGCTTTGCACCTACCTAACCTATTCTGCATCAATAAGACATGCCATCCATACCACAAATTAGTGAATATTGCATTTACATAGCACAGCAAATATTGGTGGCATTATTCTAACAACAATTTAACAACTTATCATACAGAGGAAGGAAATTGATTGTCCTCTGATGATATGTGGTAGCACTAAGCAGTTTGCTACTTCACACGGCTGGTTTACAATTAATCCTCTATCAGGACCAATTCCCTAAAGCAGGAGGAAAAAGATAAGTACGAGCGCAGACGAAGGCAAACCAGAAATACCTGTCCAATACCGACATGACATACAGGAATTGCAGCGCCGCGCCGACCGCAAAGACCACGCCCCAGAAGAAGTGTTCTGCCCAGAAGCACAAGACGCTGACGACAGCGAGATAGGTGGTGAGGATATGGATAGACACCTTCATCATCTGGCTGGCTCGGATACGCAGCAGCGACAGCCACGCCCACGCCAACAGCACGCTGGCTCCGCCAGCCACCCCGTAGAACGGCCAATACGTCTCCGTGAGCTCCGCCGTATCGGTCTGCTTCAGGTACTGGACAAACGAAGCCTGGCTGAAGTTGGCCCCGCCAGTGAGATTGGTGAAGCGATCGATGTTGAGCCGGTCGGCGCGGTTGAAGCGGTTGATCCCGAGGAGCGCGAGCGCGAACCCGAAAACGAGGAGGTGGAGGAGGAAGACACAGAGCCAAAAGACGTCCCGCCAATGCCTGCTCGCCTGCCCCGCCGCGGCGGGTGTCGGCGGCGGCAGCGACGGGTCGCTGCTGTCTCCGTTCTGAGAGGAACAAAAGAACCGTAAGCAAGAAGGCATCTAGAAGAAACAAATCAAAAGGGGGCATGAATCAGGAGGCGAAGGTCACCTCCTCGTGGCCGTCGTTGTCGATGCAGGCGGGATCGGCACCGGAGAAGACGGATTGCCGCTGCGGCCGTCGCTGCTGCGAGTCGCTGAGGCTCATGCTTTGGTAGCGAGAGAAGGAATCCGAGAGCGAAGCGGCGCGAGGGACGAGTGAGAAGGGGAAAGGGGAGGAGCGGGTTGGTGAGACGAAAAGGGAGACGAATGCAGTAACGGCAGAGGCACCGTTGGGATTAAAGAGAGAGAACACGGACCAAATCAGCGCAGATATGAAATGTGAGGGTTCCGATCTTATTTTTATTTGCTACATGCGCCAACCGGTGCCACCGTCTTTACAAGGCCGTTATACTTATTAGAGAGCATCGCTGTACCAGACGTGTAGTACGGAGATCTGTACATTACGTATACTCTACCACACTTTTCAATTAGGTCCCTGAACTTTGATCCGTGTCCAATGAGTCCTTGGACACATTGGAAGTATAGGCGTCCTCACCACAAACCACCTGAAAACGGAGTCTTCGAGAACGACCTGATATGGATCAAATACAGCAAAAAGATAATTTCACCTTAGAAAAAAAATAGCATCTATTGCTTTCCTGTGTAAGTATTAACTAATGGGATGTATCAGAAACCAATATTCTCGTACCTGACACGAGTGCTGGCAAATGCATCTCAGGAGGTGGCACGGCACAACAACAGAAAACTAGAAACAAACGAATGCTTTTTGACAGCGTGAGGTAAAGAATTAACATTTTTGGTTTAAGATATGCCCCTCCATTATTTCCTGTTTGTTCTGCAGCGGCCTGGTGACTTCTTCTTGTCCAAGTCTTCTTGAATGAGCAAATAAAAGACTGGCTACCAATATGATCAAGCTTTAATCGTCATGTGTCACATACGGTGCAAGGAAAAAATGAAAACAAACAAGGATGAAATTAGTAATACGAACACATTAACGAGAATATATGATCAAGATGCTAACAGAATGACATAATATCCTTGTCTCAATCAATGTTATTAAACGACTGGTGTACGTAATAATTGAAAAGAACGATCATAGGAAGAGGAGACCTGTCACACTTACCACAAACTGATACCTCATCTGAGTTTTCACTTCCAAGCCGGTACATCCAGATGATGATGATGGGGGAACTCTAACCCTCATTTGATGCATAAAAGCCAAATGACTCGACAATCAAAGGCCCAATGCCAGCTAATTAGAGGAATTAAAGATTATGCATAATGTTCATCAGAGTAAAGCAGCCAAACAATTTGCATTGATAACACACAACATCCCATATAACAAATTACTTGGGCTTGGCTACATGAATTATCTCCTGCATTCTTTCCCCATAGAAGCACACATGATAATTAAAGGTCAAAGATATTACAGTCACAGGTTAGATTCAGTAGCAACGATAAACATTTTCTATAATCCAAAATAGAATCCTTACAATTGATGTTTAAGCGTGGCATAAAACTAAAGTGTACAGTAAATGCATGCACCAGACTAATTCCAAAGCATTGCACCAAAAAAATAAGAGGAAAGATCTTTAGTGACTTGGTAGAAAAATGTAACCCATTAATGGCGAGGAAAGCCATGAGGTTCGTCCGATGCCCATGGACCAGTACCATAAAACCCTTTCTCACTGGCATAACCATCACGAAACAGTGCTGGGTAGCTCATGTCTGAGCTTGCAGTATGCACACCATAAGCACCAGAGCCTGCAGAATAACAGAGGCTGAATCATTCATAATGGCATAATATATTAACACAAATACCCCAATGAACTTACCAGGTCCCCTTGCTCTCTTCTCCAGCTCTGCTCTCAGCTTCTCAACCTCCCGAGCCATGGAAACAAGGTTCTTCTCCATTGCTTGTCTCTGTTCTATTTGCTCAGCGTTTGCCTTCGTCTCATATTCGTATGTCGTCCTATTATCACAATTCCAAATAACATTGCTAAGAATAATGCAAACCAACTAACCAACTTCAATATTAATTGTTTAGGCATTCACATATTATTCTCCATTTCCAATTCACCATAAGCAAAAGTCATGCAGGTAAGATCACAGATCACAAAACTGCAGACCTGGCTCTAATTAACTCCTGACGAAGGCCATCAATTTCAATTTGTAAAGTTGGCAGTTGCTGATTCTCGGTCTGCAGATGTTTCAGATCTTGTTGCAAAGCTTGAACCTTTCCAGATAACTCTTGTCGTAAAGCATCCAACTTCTGTGCTTCAGATTTTAATTGTATAGCCTCTTCCCTAAGTGGCTCACGAGCACGAAGTTCAGCCTCCAATGGAAGACCCCTCTGGATCAATTCCCTAGACTCAAGTTCTTTATCTGAACGAAGCTTGGGTATCGCCTGACTTGCTTGAAGGAGCTCATTCTTAACAAAATCTATCTCTCTCCTAAGAGCAACATTTTCTTCCATCAGAAGCCGATTGTCAGCTTGAAGCCTACGAATTTCATCATGCCTTATTACTAGTTCTTCCTCGACAGGATGTAGAGGCAATGGTCCACGTAATGGAGGGCCATCGCGGAAACCACGAGGCCCCTCATTCATAGGATGACGGGGCATACGATTTCTTCCTGCCATAGATAATCCTGCACCGGGGGAAAAAAAATACTATAGTTGTTAGTACTTAACAACAAGTGACAGATGAGCATGGCATGAAAGTATAGAAATTGAGATGCTGTCATGTACAATAACAACAACAAAGCCTTTAAGTCCAAACTATTTGAGGTCGGCTACATGAATATTTTGCCACCATTAGATTAGAATATCAAATAGAAGAAAATAAATAGCAGACTAGAACATTAAAATTGTTGGATCACAAAAAAATCACATTTATTTCTGTTTAGCTACCTCAATTTTCTACTATGTCCAACTAAATCAGCCACAGTTTACAAAAGGGATCAATGCACAAACATGGTGCTAGCCTTGTATAATCATGCGTACAGATAGGACTAATATTGCAGAACACCCAGCCAACTTTACTAAGAGGAATAGTTTTGTGGCTTTTTTCAATACCCTCAACTATTTCCCAAAAGAATATTCCATGCTTTCAACCTAATCCTCATGAGAAGTGAGTTTGAGAGGCACCAGTGGTTTTCTTGCAGCTCCTGTGCAGACCTTCCCCTATTTTTTTTAGTGAAGATGCCACATCAAAAGAAACAATGAATTTCTACAAAGTTAAAAGAAGATTGTAGTAAGCCAGTAAGTTAATTTTTGGTTGAATGTTGTACCATCCAAGCTGCTAGTGAATCTTGCATATGCCTCTTTTAAAAACTCTTTTCTAGTTTTTCTAATTGTATAGGGTTTAGATGGTATATGCTAATGCATACTCTGATGGATGAGGAAGGAGTTTGCAATCCCAACTCCTCCTGTGAATCATACAATTAATTTTCTTTTAGGTGAAGTGTCTTGCATTGAGATGTCAAAAGTGTTTGCAATTCACATACTCTAAGAACCAAACACAGCCTTCTCTGATTTGATTCATCTCATGAACTCAACTTTAACTTACAAACTAGCATCATCGGTTTCAATTCTTCTCAATTGTCTTCTAGGTTTTCTTCTCTCCATTGTTTGTCTCCTGGGACCCAGGGCCAAATGACAGTACATATATAAACATAATAAATGTTGAACATCTGGCAGATAGTAATTGAAGCCTAATTTATATGTCACAATTAATTAACATTAACCATTGATCATTCTAAATTGAAAAAGAATGAATTTATCACCTGACACTATATTGCTTACGACACAATAATTATGACCAAAACTTTTGTTGGAGGGATGTCGACTTTGATGTATAAATGTATGCTAATTATGCCTTCAATATCTCAATTTCAGTATGACAATTCACTTCTACTACAAGTGTTCTAGTCCATAGTTAAGTAGGTTTTTAATTTAGAGTTTAGGCAGAATCAAATTAATTTTCTTAAAATTTGGGAATTTATGTGAGTTTTTAGGAAAGGGATGAAAGCCCAACTTTGTGAATAATTTTAAATATATATAATTAAAAAGGGACTGAGTTCAGAGTCAGTAAATAGGAATCCAATTTTGGATGAGAAGGTGTTTCTTTAGTAGTGATCAAATGTATGATTTTTCTCAAGATGAGCTCATCCCACTAGTTTTCTTTATCTAGGGTCCCAGTTTAAATAGAATTAAAATATTTATGAAATAATAATAAAAAATCCCCAATGAAGAATAGGATTTTTCCAGTCAATTTAGTTAATCACAAGACAATTTTAGCCATAATTAACTGGCCTTAGCTGTCTCTGTAACAAATCTCCCAAGCGTCTTTAACCTTTCCATTCATGCTCTTGGCTGTATGCTGTATCACAGGAATAAAACTGTAACATATTATTAATTGACAAGTTAGAGAAAATGGCTAATTACAATTAATTGACAAGTTTAGAGAAGACGGCTAACCAGAACATAATATAAGTTGCATAACTTCATCCACAGAGGATAACATAATCATGGCTCTAAGTTTGGAATTAGACCTACTCCAGTTTCTTTTCTAACCAAACCTAAAATGGATCTTCTCACAGATTCCGTCTCCTTGGTTCCTGTTTCATCCTTTCTCTTTTCTATTTTCATTCCATCATCAAATTTCATTTAGTTTTTCTCAAGTTTCAACCTCTGGTCTGATCTTCAGGCTGAGGTTGGCAGAGAGGACCCATTCTTCACTATCCATCACATAAGCTAAATAGAAAGAGCTCGCTGACGATACTAGACATTTCTTTAGATTTTCAAATCCGCAAAGGAATTTCATGGAACAACTATTCCTCCCAAATGCAATTTAATGAGAACAAGTATTCTTCCCAAATGTAATTTCTTTATATTCTATCTATAATATGAGCTCCTAGCACAAGTAACCTTTTTTTTAAAGATATTTTAATTTTTGGTTGCTTCAAGCCTGTCTTTCAACTGAATTTTTCTAAATTTATATATATCATAAGCGATTGCCAAAAAAATCATTCACTTGCTCCTTTTAGAAATTCACATCTTTTCTCAACTTTCTTTCTTTTTCTTTGTTTCTAATATCTAGGACAGTGATTTAAAAAGACACTCGGGCACTCGCCTACGCGCTTAGGCAAGGCGAGGCGAAGCGAGGCCCGAGCGCCTTGTTTAAGGGCCAAGCGGTGCGCTTCAAGGAGGCATCGCCTGAGCGAGCGCTTAGTTGATATAAGGCGACCGAACCGCTTAAATTTACGTTAGATGGTTCGATTGAACCAACTAACACACGCAATTATATCAACGTGCAACCCCAACTCCCAACTCTACACGTGCTTCTCTTTCTAGTTCCCCCGCCAACGATTTCTCCCACTACGTTCGCCGCCGACGATTTCTCCCTCTACCTCCGCCGCCAACGATTTCTCTCATTGCCTCCGAGTCTTCCTTTGTTGCCGACCGAGTCTCCTCAGCTTTCGCTGTTGTCTGTTGTCTGCTATCTGCCGCTGTTGTCCGCTGTCACTATCCACTCCCTGCTGCTGTCCGCGACACGACTCTGCTGCCACTGTTGTTGTCCGTTGCCTCCTGCTGTCCACGACTCCGTAGCTTCTGCTGTTGTCTGCTACCTACAACTCAGCTTCTCACCACTACTTCTCATCGTCGACTTCTTACAGCGACTTCTTCGGTCTCTACTCTTCCCTACCGCTGTTAACAATAAATATACTATTAATAGTAGATTATTAATTATTGTTCAAAATAATCTTTATTTATTATATTAATAATATACTATTTATATTTGAACACTGCTAATCTTTGTTTTTAATTTAATATCATATTTTTATTTAAATAAGTATATTTATTAATTATATTATATTTTAATATTTTAGAGCGTATCCTTTCGCTTGAGCGAACGCCTTTAGCGTTTTGGGACCTTGGCGCTTAATGCTTTTTAAATCACTGGTCTAGAATTGAACCAAAATCACCAACACCCCCCTAAAACCATAGAAATGCCTCTATCTGGTCATTATTGTAAACCAAACTTCATGGGCTGCATTAATGAAAATTTATGAGCCAAAATACGATATCAATAATCAGTTCCACTTTGCCACATCCGAAACTTCATATAGTTTAGACCCACAACAACAACATACTAATGACAGTTCTAATGCTGAAAATTCATAGTTGGTACTTGGTACCATGGCTATATTATATATACCCATAAGAATGTCAATTGTACTTACAGGTGTCAGAAACAATGATTAATGAGTATTATTGCATGACTGTTTCTTCAATGATCTGCAATTTGTAGGTATCAATACCAAATGCCATGGTGGATGTCATTGTCATGAGTGGTTCC